GAAGGATATGCAGGAGTTCACTAAGTGAAGAGTAGGGGAAAGGGCATTTCAGGTGAATGAGACTGTTTGAGCAAATGAGCTAACTCATGAAGAAATCATATGCATTAAAAAACAACAGGGCTTCCCTGGTGGCGCAGTGGTTGAGAGTCCGCCTGCCGATGCAGGGGACACGGGTTCGTGCGCCGGTCCGGGAAGATCCCACATGCCGCGGAGCGGCTGGGCCCGTGAGCCATGGCCGCTGAGCCTGCGCGTCCGGAGCCTGTGCTCTGCAACGGGAGAGGCCACAACAGTGAGAGGCCCGCGTACCGCCAAAAAAACAAAAAACAAAAAAAAACCAACAGTAACGACTAACAGCTGAAGCCTGGTTGGATGACAGATAAAGCCTGAGGCCCAATTTTTAGCCAGTAGCCCCATTTTTAGCCAGTAGCCCTGTGGACCACCAAACCAGTCAGTTTTGAGTCAGAGCTTGCCCTGATAACTTCTGGGAACTGACACCACACTATAAACCAACACTTTAGTAACATTAATAATTTTTTCCCCAATGAAGCAAATAAATCCAATTTATACCTACCACTTACTAGCCACTGCAGTGCCAAACACTATGCTGCTTTCAGAAGGACGTCATTTAATCCTTACAATGTCCCCTGGAATGGAGGTAATAACTCCATTTTATATACGAGGAAATTCAGGCTGCTTGAACAACCTTCCCAGGGCCGCACAGACAGCATATTAGACAGGAAAGCCTTCAGCTGCAGGTACAAATAGCAGTTTCTTTTTTTTTCCCCCACATCAAAAGAAGTCTGGAGGTAGATGGTTACAGCCCTTAGTTCAGGTATTCTGCAATACCACCAAAATACCTTCCATCTTTCCTTTCCACCATCTTCAGAGCATTAGCCATTGGCCCCAAGGCTCACTCAGTCTCATGTTCACTGTAACGATTTTTAATTCTCATCTTAAAATCTCAGCAGCCAAGATTTTGTCAAGCTTTACTTTTTGAAATATTTCAGGTCAGCTCATACAACTCACTAATTTCACAGATGGGGAAATAGAGAGATTTGCCCCTAGCGAGCTAGCAGAGCTAATTAGTTAAACCAGTGTTCTTTCCATGAGACTAATTTAGTGGAGACTCCAAGTTGCCCACCAAAATCTGTTCTCCCATTCTTTCTTGGCTTGACTACATTTCTCAGCGGCCTTTGCAGGTTAGGTGTGGCCACGTAACTAAGTTCTTGCCAAAATTAAGTGAGCAAAAGTATGTGTGCCACTGCAGGGTCCAGGCCTTAAGGCATCTGGCGTGCCTGCTCCACGCTTTGCCGCCTTCCCACTGGCTGGAACCAGAGATGAGCCAACTTTAACCAGGCAGGTGTTGACAATGCCCCCCAGAGGGTGGAGAGGCAACATGATACAGGGAATCTGTGTCCCTGAATGACCGCTTAGAGTGGAGCTGCCCCACTGACCTGGACCGCTCACTTCGGAAATGTTAACTCCCCTCAGAGTTGTTATGTGAGGAGGAAACAAACTTCTTTGTTCTTTAAGCCACTGTATTGTTGAGTCTCTTTGTTACAGCAGCTTAGCCTTTTACCCTAACTAATACAACCAGGCAGCGTCCTTTGTACGTATTCAAAATAGCTTTACCAATGACCCGTTAGCCATCTTTTCAGAAAACAGCCCTAACCACCCAAGTAGGTGATAATCAAATAATGAAATTCCTTCCTGTGGCTACTATCCCAAGATTTCTTCATCTTAGTTAAAGGCTATTTAACAATTAAAGCAGATTATTTATGCAGAAATCCACTTAACTGTGAGGCTTTCACGCAACTAATTCAACAAATATTTGCCTTTCTAGATGCTGGGGATATAGACAGGTTACTGCATTCATAAAAGCTTACTTTCTAGTGTTTTTTTTTCTGTGTGTTTTTATTGTTGTTGTTTTAATGTTGTGCTGAGTGTTTTAAGCAGAAAAATCTTCTTTGTAGAATGTGGGATTGAGGCTAAGAACATAAATAATTGCTGAGAATTACAAAGGCTCAAACCATGTACCTTGACTATAGATGAAATGTTCTTTTGCTGAGCCCTAAAAAACAAGCAAAGTATTTTAAAGACTAAGAATCCACCTCTCTTTCTGGAGTCAAAGTATTTCCTACCTACTTAAAACAGCATTGTCTGAACTACAAGAAGTGTCTAAAGTCTAGTCAAGATTTCTGCTTTATCTGTCAATTATCTCTCAATAAAACTGAGGGGAAAAGGTTTTTCCGGACAGAGGTAGATGGACCTAGCAGCTTGCTGAGTGCTGGGATTAACCGCCAAAGCCATTTACATAGCACCGCCATGGACTGGAGACTGGGTACCTGCGCTGAAAGGCTCTGCTGGTCTAGGCATTATCTGAGGCAAGATGGTACAAAACGGCATTCCTTATCCTCACTCCAGGCTGAACAAAATCCCAAAGCTGGCCCCTTCCTGCTCTCAAATGAGATTTGGTATGAGATTGGGCAGCTGAGTGAGAGAGGAGACCTCAGGCTTGTTCTGGCTTTGTCACAACTTGCTCTGCGGCTGTGGAACATCCATGTTTTGGGCCTCAGTTTCCCCATCCATACAAGAAGGTGCTAAGGAGCCTTTCATCTCTACATATAGGAAAATCATTAGACAGAGCTACTCCCTTCCCTACGTACAACAGCAAAGTCATTCAGAGGGCAGCAGGCAGACAGGGGACATCTACCTCAAGGCAGTGCCTCAGGCCAGGGCACCAAGGAGAGTCCTAGTGAGGGTCCTGCCTTCCTCAGGCCCTCTGCTGCTGGTAAAGGAATTCCATCCTGCTGAGTCTAAGAACAGGGGTAGCAGGCACAACCACAGTGCCTTAAACGTAGTTAAATATTGGGCACTTTGATTCTTCTTTTTCAAGAAATCCCTGATTTCCAACTGCCAGAGAGATAGCAGTAAGTCAGTTCAACGAGAAGTTACTGCTCCAGGTATTTCAGATGGACGGATTAAAGGTTTTTAAGGAAGGATTATTAAAACTAGTTTTTCCTGCTTCTCCACTGAAACTTTTTTTTAAGCTTTAAAACATAGTTAGCAACTTGTGTGAAGAGCATTTCAGAGACTAATGTTCCTCCTTAAAACCAGCCACCTTAACACAGGGCTCAACAGCTTGAACTCTCAATTCTGTGGCCTCGCCTCAATTCTGGCTTTGCCACTTACTAGCTGGGTGCCTCTGCTGAGCCCGTTTCCCCATTGGTAAACATGTATAGAAACAGCGTCTCTTTCCCAGGGCTGTATGAGAAGCTAATGTATATAAACTGCTTGGTCCCCCTTGGCTCACAGTAAGTATTCACCTCCACTTCCAGTGGGAAGATGCCGCTTCCCACCCCATTAGCTCCTGAAGTGGTTAATAAACTGATTGGGAAAATTACACATTTAATCTAAAGAATAAGATGACGTGGATTCGATGACAATTTCTTCTCTGACCAAAGAATACATTTATTCTTGAGATTCAAATCCGTTAACGTGGGTAAGTCTCAATAAAACTCAAGGGGGCCAGGATATCCCACAGACTGGGGGAGGAGAAGCCACTGAAGTCAAGTTGAGAAGCCCAGCTTTCCAGATCACGGGGTACCACGCGCAGTCTTGGCTTCAGACTCCTGCCCCAGCATCCTGCTGTGTCACACCATGCACCTCGACACACACCTCCCCACCCCCACACACACTCCCACACACCAAGCAGGGGCAGGACTGTGGCTTACCTGCACTCACCGCGAGTGTCCTTTCTTTATAGCCCTTACTACAGCTGTAATTATTTGATCAATGTGGACTTTTTTGATCATTGAATTCCCAGAGTCCAGCACAGCACCTGGCACATAGTAAGTTCTAAAATATCTGCTGGCTGAATGAAAGGGCTGGCCATAGCTTAAGATTTCCTCAGAGGCTGGTTTTGGCCTAACCCTGGCATCTGAATGAAGTTCAGTACGCTTATGGCCTGTGCTCAACTGGGGGACCGTCGGGAGGGTGGTAAAGAACAGAAACAGGAGACCTACCAGAGAAGGCAGGGGAAACCCATGCACACCCAGGTACTGTCAACAGGTAAGGTAACGGATAAAGACAGTATGTGCTCTTTGTTATCTTTTGGGTAAGGGGAAGAAATAAGAATATATATTTGTATTTGTTCATATTTATTGATACTTAAAAAAACACTTGAGAGGTATGTAAAAAAACTAATAAGTGGTTATCTATGGGAGGAGAAAGGGATGGAGGTAGGAGCGAGATTTCTCAATGAATGTCTTTGTCTTTTTATATTATTTTGATTTTTGAAAATTGAACTATGTAAAAAAATCTAGTGAAAAAATAAAACTTTTGCATAGCTAGCTCACATACATTCACAAAGAACTGCTTTTTCAGGTCCCGCAGAAATGCGCCTTCTTCCATGATCCCTCCCCTCTTCCCTCCAAAGTGAAATTCTATACAGCTCTTACGGTCTTTGATAGTCTCTTACCTAAATTTGTTGTCTGTGTATATATAAGATATTTACAAGCTCCCTGAAAGCAAGAACCACATTTCATTGTATCTCTGTATCCCTCTAGCCTACTCTAGGGCCTCTCATATAGTAGATTCAGAACAAATAAAATACTGCTTGAGTGAGGAGTTACTGCTTAATGGGTGCAGAGTTTCTGTCTGGGGTGATGAAAAAGTTTTGGTTGCACAACATAAACGCTGCTGAACTGCAAACTGAAAAATGTTTAATCTTACGTTATATTCATATATATGTATACTCACGTTGTTGGTAGCTCAGGTCACTCCAATAAGAGAGCTTCAACTGGAGATAACAAATCTCCAATAAAAAAAAAGATCCTCTCCAGATGTTTTCCAGGAATACAGTAAGCGCTCAATAGCCATTGCTAAATAAACAGATAGCACATTAAGAACAGCGACTTTGAGAAACAGCTCTCATGCTGAAAACAAAGCATACCGTATATAAGTTAGACATGAACATAAACATCTTTTTAAGGACGAGAGAGGTTCTTGCAAACTTTTTCTTTATTTAATTTTCAATAAAAATATAGTCTCCTAACTCAATAGAAAGATAGCAGTGATTATCACACAGGAGGAGCTCAACAAATGCCAGTCTTCAGTTTTCAAGTTCCATGTCACAAAACCACTTCAGTCTGATTCTCTCCGTCTCGATGGAATTCCAAAAACGGTTTGGTTCACTTAATTATCTCACTGGGGCTGATCCTTTACTGCCATTCACCCAAATCCAGAACTCTTGAATTGTGGCTCACAATAACTCAATCATCTGTACAAGTGTCCGGAAATTAGATATTTCCAGCCAGAGTCAAGGATATAAAACTTTTTTTTAAGGGATACAGTAAATCCCAGTATTCATCACCAAAAAGATCAAATGTAAAAAAGTGCAATCTGTGCCTCTTTCAAAAATAGAAACTTTAAGGTTAAAAGAAAAAAAAAAAGCCCTTCCCAAACTCATTACCAGACCAGACATATCAGCCACACAGGAGCTAACAAGGCCTGCTGTTTCCATGACAGAGAACATGAGAGGTTAAAACCACACCGCTAAAAAAAAAAAAAAGAAAAGAAATAAAAAAATAAATAAATAAAACCACACCACTGAATGAAAGAACTGGACCCCTGCCACCTTTGCAAAGGCCACTGGACAAGTCCCTTAAATGCTGGATTTCAGCTCTTCAACATTCTGCCCTAGGGATCCCTTTTCTTTAAGCTCTTTATCATGGTCTGGGGAAATACTCTGACTTTCTATGGTAGTGATGGCATCTGAGTCCAACCTTCTTCTTTTCTTCAGTTGGTGCAAGTGGGACTTGGATTTCATGTGTGCTAAGGTAAAACAAACAAAAAAAATTAGGATTTTCTACAGCTAATCCTGGAAGCATACAAAATTAACTATACAATCCTTTTCTTTAACAATAACGGGATCAACACATGTACTGGTACAGCTGCTTAGCATTTTTAAGAGAAGAATAAGTCATATGGCCAGCTAGCTAGCAAACTAGCTACCACATATCACGTATACCTGCTGGGGGCTTTACATCACTAAATCCACACAACAATCTTGCGGGACAGTATTATTCAGCTCATTTTATACAGGAGGAGACTGATTTCAGAGGTCTTACATTGTGTCCAAGGTCACACAGCAGGTAAGCTCTTCAGATTACCTGTAGCTCAAAACGCGAGTCAGTTTTCCAGAATAGGGCTCCAGACTCAATTTTCCCATATAGGGCTGCCTGTTACAGATACATTTCAACTCACACATCTCAAAAGTTACAAATCCAGGGCTTCCCTGGTGGCCCAGTGGTTAAGAATCCGCCTGCCAGTGCAGGGGACATGGGTTCGAGCCCTGGTCCGGGAAGATCCCACAGGCCGCGGAGCAACTAAGCCCATGCGCCACAACTGCTGAGCCTGCATGCCACAACTACTGAAGCCCGTGCGCCTAGAGCCCGTACTCCACAACAAAAGAAGCAATGAGAAGCCTGCACACCGCAACGAAGAGGAGCCCCCGCTCGCCGCAACTAGAGAAAACCCTGCACGCAGCAACGAAGACCCAATGCAGCCATAAATACATAAATAAATAAATAAGTTACAAATCCAAATTCTAATCTGTATTGCAGGACAGATGGCTCAGGCCTACGGTACCCAGAGCCGCCCTTCCCTCTTCTTAACCAGCTCGCTCAGGTTGCCCCTCCTGATGTGACATCCCTATGCCTGGGTCAGATAAGCCATCTGAATGACTAACCCAGATACTCGCATTCTCCAGCACACAATGCACCAGAGAGATCACAGCAAGTATTCTTTTCTGATGATCCCTTTCACGGATCCACAGAAGCAGTAAAGCTGAAAAGCTACTATTGGCTGATATCAATTTCTGACCTCTCACCCTAAAGACAGTTCTCAGCTTCTGACTAACTCACACAAGCTCCTTTTTACCATCCTGTTCTTTTTCAAGGAAATCTTATCTGGAAACACCTATAAAGATAGACAACGAGATTAAGTTCTTTTATACTTACTTAAAACATCATTTTTAGGGATTTGGAAGCAAAAGTAGGTAAGGAAGAGGTTAGAAGTCAAGGAAAAGTTTACTTGAGGGAAAAAGTCAGTTTTGTCTCCAGCTAGAGCCTACGGCAAAAAGTGGCCTTCTGGACTGACTCTCCATGGCAGCAGGAGATGGGAGAGCAAGGACTTGACAGATGGCACTATAGAAGGGCTTACACAAGCTATGCTCACAAAGGCTCACAAATGTTGCTTCTCTGTGGCAATCCCTGAAGGACATTCGACAAATCAAACCACTAAGTTTCCTTTAGAAAAAACAATCAGACACTCTCTTTCTCTTCCCCTTTCATCATTATGAACCAACGATAATTGAGGCTTCTTCTGCTGCTTGGGCAATCACAGCCATCCCCAGTCTCTGACAATGCAGTTCATTTTGCCAGCGTTAGCAGTTAATAGAACTAATCGTTCTATTGGTTGGTATGGGGGGAAAAATCCTCTTCTATGAGAATGCCATGCAAAGCAGTACTCTGAACGGGATTCCAGCCGCTGGGTAAAATACAAGCCCTGCTTGTGCCTAAAAGGAGTGAGCCTTCAACAAGTTTCTAAATACAATGTAAATTCAAGGCTTAGAGGCTAAGGCCCTTTTGAGCTTTGCTGGATTACTGCAGAAATCCGACAGGGGAGTGCAATGTGACTCTATGGCAAAGACAGATCCAGGCTCTGAAACGGGGAACTAGAACCTCGGTGCGGGGCTGTTCCTGGGTTGGTCAGGAGCGCCTTATGAAGAAGACAGTACCCTTTGACCACCGTCTTTCGGCGTGTCTAACCGTCTTGCTTTCACACAGTTTCCCTTAACACTTTTCATCACAGTTTTTGCAACCAACACCATTTCAACGTATTACCTTAAAAGTTACTGGAGAGACACCACTTTTGAAGAATGTACTCAGGAGGAGTAACTGCACTTCCTGTTCCCTCCCAGCTGTTTCTGCTCCTTTGGCCTCTTGGGTGAGTTGCCTGGCTTCCCTTACAATCCTACCTCACCCCCACTGAGGTCTAAACATGAGACCAAGAAACTACTCAGGCAGGATCATGAAAGTCAAAGGAGCTCTGGCAAGTTAACTGCAGACCTCTCAGTAAAATATCTACTCTAGCTGAAGCTAGAGGGCATATGATCTTCCTTTGAAATTGAGAATACAGAGATAACTCTCCCGTTTGAGAAGGCCTCTCCATGAAATTTGAACAAAGGCTGTTAGAGGAATCTGGTCATTTTTTTTTTTTTTTTTTTACAAACAAGCAGACTCCAGCATTCAACCTACCAAAGACCTTAAATTTTTCATGAAGTCAGTGTGACCCACCCTTACAGATTTCTCTATCCTAGACTCTACCTGCCCATTCACGGTCCCCAATGATGATTCGATCACAGAGGTCACACATGTGATAACTTCTCTTGTTCTCAGTTTCACTGCTTGGCATCTTTACTGGAGTAGCTGCAGGCTTGTGGCCCTGAAAAAAAAAAGGCAGGGATGGGGGAGAAGCATTTGATTCAAAGAGATTTGGATATTATACTCTGATATTAAGAGGAGTGAGATTTTCCCAAGATTCCTTTTTCTCACCCCAGAGAGCAGGTGGGCTGTGAAGAGATTTTAACAACAACCTTTCTGAAAGTGAAAGTAGAAATGCAGCCTCCAGGGATTTAAAAGCAGCCTTCTGCTCTATTCCAAGGAAAAGAATGCTTGGTTCCCAGAATAGCAACAAAGGTGTCAACAAAGGAAAGCTTTGTGAAAACCAGACAATAGACAGTACCATGATTAATAGTCACCTGGATGAAACTTCGCACAATTTCAAGAGCAGGTTCAAGAACAGACTCTTCCCACTTCGAGACGTCAGACACTTCTAGGCCATATACTGGGGGAACACTGGGACCAGGTCCTAATGACGACAAAGAAAAGCTGTGAGAGGTCAGCCTCCAAGACCCAATCTATTCTGCTCCTAGGGCTCCAAAATCCTCAAGGGAAACATACGGGGTCAAAGAAATAAACATTCTGACCATGCCATTCAATCTAACCAGAAACATGAACCAAACAGCTACACACAATCCAAGAAAGACCCAGAAGGTTGACTGGTCTGCAGCCAATAAGTCTAGCTGTATAATCCAGAGTCTCAGGTGTAGGATCTTCCAGATCAGTCAGGAAAACAATATAGAGTAACAGCTCTAGTGACCACTGTATGGGCTACAATATAAAGGTAGCACGTGACAGGAGGCAATTAGCAGCTTGAAGTGAGTGCCTGTTCTAAGGTCCATATCATCTTACAGTGATGTCATTCTGTGGCAAAAGAGTTCACAGCTTTCTTTAGTCTCAGGTTTGTATACATCCCTTCAGCAGTCTAGCATTCACGAAACTCATTAATACCATACTGATAATCATGGGCTGGTAACAGCAGAGTATCAACCAGTGAGCTGCTGAATCTGAAAATTAGAAAAAAGCCTTGGAATTGAACTAGTTGAGCCCTGTCTCTAAGAAACAGATCTAGAGGAGTATTCAAGAAATACCCTTTGGTGAATACTTCTGAAGGGAGATAAGACCGGAGGTAGCCGCAAGTATAGCTATAAGCATTTCATCCATCTGAGCCAACTACGTTTAGTCTCTGCTGGTAGCTTCCCCAGTATGTGGATACACTAAATTGCCTTCCACATCCAGGTTAAGTCAGTTGCCTAAAGGCAAAGAGCATTGCCCCATGGACAAAAACATCAAAGTCCTCAGAATGCCAACGGCTGGCAGGTGCTGGCCTTTTGATAGTGCCAACCACAAATAAGATTCTTCATAAACTGGACTGGGCTGCACCTGCCACCACACGGAAAGGTGAGACTGGGAGGGTGCAGGCAGCACCCACAGCACACCTGGCCTTGGCTAAGCTCTGCACCTGTTTCCAGGCCACTCTATATTTTCCTTTCCCCTCTAAGTCCTTTGTTGGGCTTCTGTGCCCTGTCTAAGTACCTTTCAACAAGTTCTCGGCTCCCAGCTGCTATTTCTGGCTTGGGTCCAAGGCCAAGCTGGGGTGGGGAAGTCCCTCTGGCTTCTTGCCAGAACCTTACCCCAGCAGACCAGCCCTTGGCCAATCACACACGGCTCCTGATTTACAGGGCAGCTGTGCCTTTCACCCTAGCACCAGGACTGCGCCGGCATACATGAATGAGGACCGGGCATACGATGCCATCGAGCCCTCATGACTCAGAGATGGGGGAGTTATTGTGCCTTTACCACAGGAAGAAGTTCCAAATCATTATCCCAAAAACCCATCTTTTGTTACAGACTAATTGTTAGCCCTGCGGAGAAGAGAAGCTGCATTAGAAATTTGTAGTAGGGAACTTTGTTTCAGCTGACACGAAGACTTCTATCTAAAAGGACATGCAGAGAAAGCAAGGTAAGTAGAAGAAAGTGTAAAAAGCCCCTTGGTGTGAGAACTACACTGGAGAGCTCTAGCAGAGGGTGAGAACTGAGAGAGAGATCCAAGGGTCAACAACATGGCCCAAGGTGTTTCTGTTCAGAGGCACTGAGAGGAGGGTGAGACCCAGCTGTGCGTATCTGTAACTGAAAGCAGAAATCCAATGGCAAAAGGTAAACAGGGATGATTCAAAAGCATATTAAAAAAGGGCCCAAAAGATAAAACTAGGGTTTCACTTATGCTTAATCTCCTTTAAATAATCTCCTTTTAGCTCATAACCACACAATTTCTTACCCGAGGCCCAATACTAATGCTGTCCAGCTAAAGTTATAACTAAAGGAAATAAGAAGCATGGTGTAAAGCTGAGCGTGGACTTCAGAGTCTGGCCCGCATTCAGTACTCTACTGCTTATTAGCTAGGGAAATTTTGGCAAGTTATTTAACTTCTCTAAGCCTCTATTTACTTATCTGCAAAAAAGAAAAGAATACCACCCACCTTGAAGGCTCAGTAACATGTATGACACCAAATTTAGTGCTAAGGATGCAGTACAGGGTCCAATGAATGAGAATTTCGTTCCCTTTTCCTTAAAAGTGCTGTTCAACTGAAGTTAGAGTTGCAGCTCCCTGAAGCACTATGTATCTGAACACAGAAGCGATGCTAGGAGAATTGGTGAAAGTTTTGTCTTTTTATACTACTTATCTGGCCCCCAAACCATTTTAATTAGGAAAGCCTCCCTACGGAAATCTGACTGTTCTTCAGGTACAAAATCTGAAGCTAAAAACAACCCTGAGCACCAACTCCGCTAAGAAGGTATTGCTATTTTGTTCTTCCCTGTCTGCAGCCAGCACTCATGTGTTCAAGGCTTAAGGCAGATTCTTCCTGGGGAAGAACTGTTTTCTGAGGCATCACAGGAAAACACCCCTGGACAATCACTTATGCAAAACCCCCCAGGTCAGGTCCCAAATCTTAGAACAGATCCAGAAACTAAAGTTCACTTTCTGGGTGAGCTGAGAACATCTATGTTCCACCGAAAGCAGACCCAAGGCATCAGGAAAAACAAGGACACTTACTGCTCAAAAAACGGTTTTTAATCCATCGGTTTTGCTTCCGGGCATATCTCTTAGTCACTTGTTTCAGAGCCTCAATACCTGAAAGACAAGGTAGATATAAGAACCTCTATCTAACCACTTCTCACTCTGCTGAAAGGAAGGCCCATCCAGCCCAGCGTTAGAGAAAACTAGCCACGTCAGCACACTGGTGGATACTTGGTAGGTGAAAATCTCAATTCTGAGCTGAAGGCCGTTTGGGTCTCTTTTAGCCTCAGCTCCTTCTCAGGCCATAGCAGCAGGACACTCTGTCACCCAAGGATGTCCAAGGCTAGGTTAGATGGAGAATTCACACCTTTCTTTAGGAGCTGGTTTCTAGTCTCTGGTGTGCACTTTCCCTCAGTGATCAGGTACTCGTGAAATTCCTTGAAGCCAATTGATTGGAAGATACCATGTTGATAGTCCTGGCTGGGAACAGGAGAGCATCAGCAGATGAGCCATTGAATCTGAAAGCTAGCAGGGCACTGGAGATGATCTAGCTGAGCCATTTCATCTCATAGATGAGGAAACTGAGATCCTTAGCAGTTACTACCCTCTGAAATCCTTCCTCCACCTTCCCCCACCAGCTCCCAGGTTACTTCCCTTGAAAATTAACTTCTGGGAATGTCTGAGATTAGAAAATTGCAACTGTAACAAGTACACCAAACCTCCTCCCAATGATGAAGGGTAGCAAACAAGTAGATCCAAAGCCAGTATTATATGTTTACGGTCTTTTGACCATAAGCAAGGGGTGGAGAGTAGGTGAAAGTAATAGCCAAATTCTCACCTGTTTTCCACAATTTTCTTCTCATTATAGCGTCTGTGAAAATCTCTTAGTTCATCCAAGAGCCCAGCGGCGAGCATGTTATCCACCCTCTTATCCAAGCGCTCATCTAGAACTTGAATCAAATTAACCCATCAACCAGCAAGCCTGCCGAAGGTGTGTACTATACATGATGAATGCATAGGCTGCCATAAAGAAGAGAATTTGTTCAAATGGAAGAAAAGGTTCAGAGTCCAAAGATTATACAATAATTCATAATTATATTTAGTCACACTTAAAACTTGGCAATTCCAATAAAAACAGCCAGAATGAGGCATGTCTTCTTATGTAAAGAGCACACAATTACAGCTACTAGGAACAACAAATATTTTATTCTTGTATGGAATGTATATCCATTGTTTATTTTAGAGGCAGCTGAGAGCCCCGTTTTACTCTTACTTTTTTCCATTATATTTGTTACTCTAACTTTATGCTATTTCATATTTAAGAACTCTCAGATGACACCTTAAATAGGAATGAAAAACTTTAAACCAAAGCCATCCTAAGTATATCTTGAACTACTGAGCCAGACAAAGGAGCAGAGTGAGAGATGATAATCATTCCAATGTGGTCAAACACAGCTTTATTATGAGTCAGATACCACTGTTGGATGCTGCACTGTAACACATGTTTTTATTTACAAAATGTTCATTATTAAAACATTACCTTTTTCTATAACCTTATAATTTAAGTTTGAGATAATATAATCTGAGATTAATTTAACAAATTTCCACCATTTCAATTATGCTCTTCTACATCTCTGCCATTGCTATTTCTTGGCTTACAATGATAATAACCTTTTTTTCTACCTTCCTAGAAAGTTTGCATTTATTGAGGACTCACCACGTGCCAGGCACATTCTGAGCACTTCGCATGTATTATTAATTCATCTAATCCTCAACGAAGCTATGAGATATGTATTATTATCATCCCCATTTTATAGAAGAGAAAAGTGGGACACAGAAAGGTAAACCAACTTGCCTTAAAACTCACATAGCCAGAGACGATGGAGCAGGAATTTGAATCCAGACAGTCTGGCTCAGAGACATGTTCTTAATCACTAAACTATACCGCCTGTTCCCCTAACGATCTCATTTTTCTAGACCTAGCTCATAAGTTACCTTTATAAATTGGTCCCCAGAAAATGCTCATCATCCCTTCTCTGTGGCCCCACAGCACCTTCTAGCCCAGCGTTTATCACAACAGGGTATCTACCTCGTTATTTGTTGCCCAACTAGACCAGAAGCTCCTTAAGGGCAGCTACTGTCTACATTCATCTCTGAAATCCAAGTACTATGTAGAACACTTGGCAGTTCATTGAATGCTTGCTGTTATATTTGTTGCATAAAGAAGTTACTATTATCACAGGGCATTAGCAAAAAACCAAAAAGAAATACTATCAGTTAGCTAGCTAACCATCATTCCCACTTCTCAGGCCTACTGATTCCAAAATAATCAGTGATCCAGGCTTTAGCCAGAGAGTCAGATCTCCTTCCACAGGATACTTCCTTCTCTTTCTCCTTTGGATTTTCTCTGGATGGCAGTCTCTTTCCCATCCCATCTTATCTCATCCTCATCTTACACTAATCTTTTTTTTTTTTTTTTTTCGGTACGCGGGCCTCTCACTGTTGTGGCCTCTCCCGTTGTGGAGCACAGGCTCCGGACGCGCAGGCTCAGCAGCCATGGCTCACGGGCCCAGCCGCTCCGCGGCACGTGGGATCTTCCCGGACCGGGGCACGAACCCGTGTCCCCTGCACCAGCAGGCAGACTCTCAACCACTGCGCCACCAGGGAAGCCCTATACTAATCTTATACTCATGTTATACTAATGCCAGGGCTACCTTTACCTGCTTTCCAGAAAGATAATGGCACTGTGTCTTACTAAGTCAATGAATAATGATCATGATAATAAAATGAATAGCTAACACTTGTTTAGTGCTTATTATGAGCCACTCAGAGTTCTAAAGCATTTTTTTTCAAAACAACTTTTTATTGAAGTATAGTTGATTTACTCTAAAGATTTTATATACAGTAATGTATTACTATAAACTCTGTCTCAGATTAACTCTAGGACACCAAAGGACTTTTACCTGTCTGTTCAGCATGAAGCCAGAGGATGCACGGGTTAGGGAACTTCAGAGGGCCTCCAAGGGGACCACCACCTTCCTCGGCATGTTGACGATGAAGAAATTCACTATGAGAGATTCCTGTTTCTTCAAACACTTGCAAGCTCCTAAGTCATTTGAAAGGGGAGGGTGGGCACACCCATAACAACCATTAGGAAATATTAATTCTCAAGTGAAACAGGGGAGAGGCTATTTATTATAGAATACCTCACTGTCATTTTCACTGCATAAGCCCCTGAACACACGAAGGTCTGGGGTTACTGCAAACCTATAGCTACTCAGAAAAGCGTTCTAAAGAAAACTTTAGGTAAAGAAAGAAATAAAACTATTCTAAACATATATAAAATTTTCTGAAATCAGTTAAACAGGTTCAGAAACAACAGGTTTCTACTACACAAAGAGAACAGGACATATTCACTTTCGGGTAAGCAGTAAAAGCTTGTCTGGGACACTTTGCTATAAGCCAACAAGTCTAGTCTCGCTGGAATGCCTTTCCCACAGTACAAAAGTATGCTGTATATCCAGCTCATCAACTTTCTTTTTAAGTATGTCTAAAATTAATGAAAAATGCTTCTGACTAATTCAGTACTCTACTAGCACAAAGATCACTGGAGAAAGAACTACACACTTATTCTTAAGCCACTATCCGCCCTGTCAGCATCTATTATGTTATGCAGCACTGGGTAATTTAACTCTCAAATCTATACTCTACCACTCTGGGTGATTGCAACTTATCAGCTTGAAAGTGATCTTTCCCTTCCTGATCCAATTCTACTTCCTGAAACCCTAACACAAGAGTAGAGACCCCTCGTCTTTCCCTATCACTGGTCACTCAGAGAGGACCTAAGAAGGAAAAATGTAATAGATATCTTACTTATCTGGAGGCTAGAATACAGCCTCAAACTAAAAGAAAGATGAAAGAAGTCCTCCAATCTTCTTTTAGAGACTCTAGAGCTCTTGCTTAGAACCTACTGTTCTTACGAAAACACATTCTCAACTCATTACTAGTTTAGAAGTCGCAAAATAAGGAGAAATGATAAGAACTGATTAATAAAAGGAGCAGATAGTAACAACCAAGCTCTAGACTCATACCATAAAACGATACAAAAATGAATGTTCATCAGAGTGTCCCTGAGTTTTCCAAAAAGTTTTTGGAAGATTTCTATTTAACTGTTTAAAAATAAAGTGTTTGGATACTGGAAAGTATAAACTTTATTTATCTAGAATATGTATTATCAACAGGGTGACACTGCCCTCAAGGGAGCCAAAAAACCTTAGATATTACAATGATGTGTGGCGCTCTCCCAAAATCTTATTCTTCAGCATTAAAATTTCATTGAGGGGAGGGAGGGAAGCACAATTAGGAAAAAAATTTCTAAAAAGGCTTCAGGGGCAGGGGGGATAATAGAAAAGGATTAAGAAACACCGACATAGAATGCTCATTTGAGTGTAATACTTCATAACCCCTGTCAATACCAAATGTTCCTATAAATATCTAATGTGTATAACCATCCATATAGTAGGTCCTCTACTCTGCCAGATAAGGTATCGCTTCCGGCACTACAGAAAAGTACACCTCAGTGGTGATCACTTTGTAATGTACAGAAATATCAAATCACTATGTTGTGCACTAGGAATCAACATAGTGTTCTAGATCAATTATACTTCAAAACAAACAAACTCATAGAAAAAGAAATCAGATGTGTGGTTACCAGAGGCTGGGGGTGGGGGAAGAGGGAACTGGATGAAGGCAGTCAAAAGGTACAAACTCCCAGTTACAAGATAAATAAGTACTAGGTATGTAATGTACAACATGATAAATATAACTAACACTGCTGTATACTATACATGAAAGTTAAGAGTGAGGCCTGAGAGTTCTCATAACAAGAAAAAATCTTTTTCTTTTATTTTGTGTCTATGTAATAAGTACACTAAACTTATTGTGGTAATAATTTAATGATATACATAAGGAAAATCATTATGCTGTACACCTTAAACTTACACAGTGCTGTATGTCAATTATATCTCAATAAAACTAGAAGAAAAAAATAGATTAAATGACTGATAAAATGAAGATGCAGTCAGAAGTGAACAGAATACGGAGCCAATGAAGATGCATATTTACGGAGGAAAAAATAAACCATCTAATCTTAGGAAGGAAGGGAGGGAGGGAGGGACGGAAGGAAGGGAAGGAGGGACGGAGGGAGGGAGAGAGGGAAGGAGGGAGGGAAGGAGGGAAGAAGGAAGGAAGGAAGAAAGAAAAGTATACCTAACACACGAGGCTGCAATTTCAAAGCAACCTAACAAAACATGGTTAATGAACTAATAAGGTCATCTCTCTCTTCCCTTCAAGAAAGTCTCCATGTGTAAAGGTGAACTGATCTATAAGACAGTTTATAAAACCTGTCTCCCACTGGGCAAGCTGCTGGGGCAGAACTCAGCATTGCACAATCAATTATGAAACCTAAATCACAATGTCAGCTGACTACATGCCAGAAAAAATGTATATGAAAACTGTTATAAAAGCAAAGATCAAATAGAAAATGAAGCAAGATTACATAGGTCCTAGGGAAAAACTGTACTGTATTATGCATTTTAAATGTAACAACAACAAAGTAGGGTGCAACTATTTATTGAGGGAGTTGGACTGAGGCAATAACTCTGGGCCTCCTAACCTCCTAACCTGCTGAGGTAAAACACATCAATCTCCACTAACTGCTATTACCAAACCTGTCTCACCAGGCACACTTAACAACTGACCGCCCTCTAACACTGAAGGGGCCTGGCGCCAGCTGGCTCCCGGCTTTCTTACCTGGCCACTTTGCGCTTGTCATGTGGGTGCAGCTTGGCAGCCATTTCTGGGTCCACCTGGCTTAGGCGTTTGTGGAGCGCATGGCCATCCTCCTTTTCAAGCTCAACTTTCTGGTCAATCACTTTCTCAGTGCCCATCTCCCAGGGCTATTAAATGAAGGTTTAGTAGTAAATTTAATTCAAAAATTCAACAAACACTGAAACACTGTATGTGCCAGGCACTTTACTAAGTGTTCAGGAACACAGAATAGAGATGAATCAGAAGATCTTGCCATATAGTGAGAGACAGATCATAAACAGAAAATTCCAATACACCATGGTAGTGCTGTGAGGCCACAGTAAACAAAAAGGAAAGAGGACTAGGTGTCTAGGGAAGTATTCAGGGAGTACAAGCTACCCAGGCTAACACATCTATATTAACACATCCAGGAGTCTAGTCTTCTCAACAAGTATAACCAAAGAGTGGACCAGAATTTCCAGCACATTATAGTTTGCAAAGTCCCACCCTACGCAATAGCATCTCTGTAAGAATGGTTAGTGTCAGATATCTCCCTGACATATAGATTGTTTCAGCCAGGAAATGCTGAATCAGACTAACGTACTGTTAACTTACATGGAGATGCTAATTAATCCACAGAGGAGCATTTTTCCCACACACAGCCCCTGTCCTTAGGCCAGCCTGGAGAAGCACACTTCACATATGGAGGGGGCATTTGCTTCAGAATATTAAGTAGGAAAGTTAGTACAGTTGCTGAGTATAAGAAACACGCAAAAGTCAACTTTCCTCCCATTAAAATTAGCGGGCAAGAAAGAAGAACCCATTTCCTCATTGAATTACAAGTGAACCAAACATACCTTAGCATTGACAAGAACTTTCCAGAGCAGAGCCTCAATGTAATAATTGGTTCCTCCCACGACAATAGGAATTTTATCTCGGGAAAATATATCTTCAATGTGAATGTTAAGAAAGACATCAAAATATTAATATCAAGAAGAAAATCTGACTCACTTGGAAGTAGGGTATTAGTAAGAAACCACATTCGTCATATTTTTGATACTAGTCTTCACTGTTTCTCATGAGTTCTCAGAATCATTTCCTATCAGTTCTGGAGGGACTTGCATAAACCAGAGACAGATGCATGATGGTAATTCCTTCCAATTCGAGAACTTTCTAGGCCTTGCTGCTAAAACTCAAAGCTTGCTTAGTATTCAAAATTAGCTTAACAAGCACAAGCCTAAGGACTCTCACAGAATTACGTGTCAACTGCTCAGGAAGCCACCAAGATGATGTCCACTGTGTGACTTTGCCTTCTAAGGCAAATTACAAACTGGTTTCTCTAAGCCGTAGTTCTTAGACTCAGTCTTCACCATTTTGTAGCAGTAGTGTACATTTCAGCCACTTGAGACTCTACCAGATGAACTGGGAAGCACAGGCTATGAAGACAAATAGATTTCAATTACCAGCTCCAACACTCAGCAAGTCATTCAACTTGTCTGAGCTTCAGTTTTCTCACCTGTAAAATCCTCATGAGTTTTTTTTTTTAATTAATTTAATTAATTTATTTATTTTTGGCTGTGTTGGGTCTCCATTGCTGTGCGTGGGCTTTCTCTAGTTGTGGTGATCGGGGGCTACTCTTCGTTGTGGTGCACGGGCTTCTCATTGCAGTGGCTTCTCTTGTTGTGGAGCACGGGCTGTAGGCTCATGGGCTTCAGTAGTTGTGGCTCACAGGCTCTAGAGCGCAGGCTCAGTAGCTGTGGCGCACGGCTCCAAGGCACGTGGGATCTTCCCAGACCAGGGCTTGAACCTGTGTCGCCTGCATTGGCAGGTGGATTCTTAACCACTGCGTCACCACAGAAGTCCCTCATGAGTTCTTATGAGCATTACACGTGACAGTGCAAATAAAATCCCTAAGACAATGCCTGAAATATTTTTTTCAACTGAGTAAGCACTCAATTTAGTCATTACTGTTTTTACACCACTGCTACTTGGAATTTTTCTCTTTAGAATCTCTGTTGAACAGATAATTATCTGCTTTAAGAAGGGCTTTCCTTCTGAGAATAACTGATAAAGAGACTTTCAACCCAGATAAAGACTCATTTACACACTTCTTCCCCTTGCCAGCCAGTCTGTGGGCGTAGAGATAGATGACCTCTTTTCTGACAGAAGTCCTCTATAAGAGGTTGGGGTAGGGTGGGGAGAAAGATGTTACTAATCAAGGAGCATAAGGAAGAAACGTGTCTATTCGTTTTTTAAAAAGAGAAACAAATTCTATATCCCCCCCTATAAATTAAGTATAAGAAACATACAATTACACAGTAATTGTAATAAAACTTCAAATATATAATCTGACTAACAAAGGGAAAGGAAGCAAGGAAAATAAAAGGGGAAGGCGAAATGGTGAGATACCAGAAGGGAGAGATGGAAAAGAGGGAGGGAGATGGGATAGGAGTTATTTGGTGGGAAAAGGTTTAACATGTTTGCCCAAGCCATGAAACAACTGTGATCCTAAGCAAAAACCTTTCTCTCTGGGCCTCAGTATCTACTACCCTCACCTGTCAAATCGAGAAGGTTGATCGAATACTTCTTAAGGTACTTTCAGTTCTGACACTCTGATTCTAGGTTCTTACTTAAATTCACAAATCTCCAATCCTCTAAGTGATCTGATTAAGTCATCCCCTGTTGCTGCTGTCCTTTAACTCTTTTAATTAGCTCTCCACTTTCCATCAGTCGTTTCTGAACAACTGACCTGTCTTACAGCAACAATGTTCATTTGGTGATATGTTGTTTTTTTTTTTTTTTTTTTGTGGTACGTGGGCCTCTCACTGTTGTGGCCTCTCCCGTTGCGGAGCACAGGCTCCAGACGCGCAGGCCCAGCGGCCATGGCTCACGGGCCCAGCCGCTCCGCGGCATGTGGGATCTTCCCAGACCGGGGCACGAACCCGCGTCCCCTGCATCGGCAGGCGGACTCTCAACCACTGCGCCACCAAGGAAGCCTGGTGATATGTTTTAATGTGCAAAGGGCTTTCATATACATTACTTCATCTGACACAAGTGCCTTATAAAGCAGGTAGGGCAAGAATTATTATCTGCGTTTTAATCTCTGCCCACTTGATAGGCAAAAAACTATTATCTCATTATTTTGATTTGCATGGCCTCGATTAACAGCAATGGTAAACTCTTTTTCATGTTTATCACCATTTATATTTCTTCCTTTGTGAATCACTACTCATGCTCTTTAAGTATTTTTTGAGTTCTTCATATGTTAAGTATACTAATGTTACAGATATTTTTCCCCTGGTTTATAGTCTGTTTTTGTTGTTGTTTTCAAATTTTTTATTTTTTGGCCGCATCTAGTCTGTTTTTTTTTTTTTTTTTTTTTTTTTTTTTTTTTTTTTTTTTTTTTTT